ATGTTCCTGCTAGCTGTGACAATGCCTACAGAGGATTAGAAACTCCTCCATCCAACTGTGATTAGTTTGAAAATTACAGTAGTTTTTCTCTTCTTGTGCACTACATGAATCTTTTAGAGAGAGGCCAGACAATAAAGGAATTTGTATCATGGAGTCACTGGCATACAGAATAACTAGCAGAGATCCCGGTGTGCTGTTCAGTGGAGGCACTCAAATCTGTGGGTGTACCAAGAAAACAATAACAAGGTGAGACCTTAGATACAAAAGAATTAAGTGCTGTCCGTGCATTGAAATATTTTTTAAACACTTGTATGCTAGACTTTGATTAAGAGAAAGAAATGCATAGATACTTAAAATAACACAGAGAATTCAGGAAGATAGTAACATGTTGCATGGATGGAAAATTGAATACAATTTTTGAAGAAAGAAAGCCTAGTAAGTATATTAAGCATCTGAGTAACATCACCGTAGTGCCTAAGTGGAAAAACAGGCTTAGCAAGAGATGGTATGCTTTGGTATAGATCTGATATGGGGGAGGCCTGCGCATGTGTGATGAGATTTTTGAGAAAGGCAGTACTGAAATAGTTCATCGTCACGATTGTCGATGCTGCACTCGTTTTCTAAAGTATGGCCAGAGTATGTACATGGTACACAATGTAAATATCTGCATATATTACATAAGGTATATTTGCTATGATGTGGATTATTCAGGAAAGATAATCCTAATTGCATTCCTTTGAAAATTCAGAATTTTATGAATCCCAAATTTTGGAATTTAGCATGGTTTTGCAGTGAAAGGTGCTGTGTTAATTGCCTTGGTCTTGTGTGAGCCAGCAGGCTCTTGTCTCTGCATAGAGCCCCACTGTGTTGTTCAAGCTCTGTGTGTGGGCTTTAAACCTCCCAGCTGTCTTTGAAGTAGACATTCTTTTTCATCTGTTTTACATGTGGGAAACTGTTATGTAGGCTGATAATCTGTCTTTGCTCTCTGAAAATTCAGTAAATAATGTCAGAGACTTGAGAAGCATTCCAGATTTTTTTTAGCTCTTTTTTTAGCTTTTAGAGTATGTTTCGTCTAAGGTAGTCTATTATCATCAGATACAAATTGCATCAGAGACAAAGCTTAGAAAAATAATTGTCAATCCCCACTGTAGCTGTGAATTTCTTATTGACATTGTCTTTATAGCTCTGTTGCATTATTTCTGTTTTCCCTTCGAATCTTTACTTGTTTGATAGACCAGTCACTCACCTTCATCCTCCTACTCTTTCATGAAGTACAGTGCCATTGTACTGAAAGGTGGTGCAGACTTCTGCACCCTGAGGTGTTAAGAAAAAGATACTTTATTCCCTTCTTATGTTGCATTATTTTCTGATTTTTACACTTTGCCATATTTTATGCCGCAAGGAACAATGTTCACGGTGTGGGTGTCTCTGCTTTGATGTTTAGCCATCCTTGAAAGCTGTTTACTGGTTCATGCTCCCTTGTCATGAACATACTTTCTTAAATAACTTGGCATCATGGCAAGTTATTTAAAATCACAAGTTGATATTAGCTGGTTTTTTTTTTTTTGTTTGTTTTTTTTTTTTTTTTTTGCTATATTCAGAGATTCACTTTTTCTATAGTAGAAGGAAAAATGGTAAAACATAAATAGCACCCACTGTTTTTATGTTTTGATTGTAATCCTTGGATGATACACCATGAGCCAGCTAGAAATTTGATCTTTATTGACTCTGCTATCTAAGAGAAAAAAGAAAATAGGTAAAAACAAAAATAGTAATTGGAAATAGCTCCTGTGGAGCAAAGCTGTTATGAAGCAGATTGATTCAGCAGTGGCAAAGTTGCTTTATTGATTGTAAGTCCTTAGTAAATTAAAAAGGAGCAAATGCGTTAATCTTCGGTGTGCGTGTGTGACAGTGACAATTGAAAATGCTCTGCCAGTATAAAGACACATAGAGGAGTGTGGGAATCTACTTCAGTCAGTAGCAGGCTTGCCACAGATAAGAATAGGGTTCTTCAGAATTCCTTCTGGGTTGAATGTTCTTTGCTGTAAACAAAGGAGAGAGGAAGTACCTGCTTGGTTTTTTTAAACATTCACATGCAATTAGTCTAGGAAAAGGAATGAAGATAGGAATTATTATAATTATTATTATAATTTTCTTCAGGTGTTCCTTAAATTTTATTCTCTCTCTCAATTGCAATATCAAATTTGCTATTAACAGATCAGTGCAAAACCTTAATATATTCTAGCTTAGAATCTCAGTCTGCTTCATAAGCAAAAGTCAGTTTTGGATCTGGATTTTTGACTCTTTTAATTACTGCTTATTACTTTATGTGATTGCCCATTTGAAAGTAAATTAATCCTTTATTTATATTTTCCTTCCTAAATCATCACAGTTTCTCATAAGGATGTAATTCAGTTAGATGGGGAGTAGCTACACAAAGTGACATTATAGTAGAGAAGCTTTTCCTTCCCAGAAAAGCAGGAGCAGAGCTGGGATTTTGTTGTGGGGAGGACTAGATGTTACCAAGAGAAATTCTCGCTTTTCAGCCTCAAATTCTGCACCATCAGAAATTTTGTTTCATTTATTTCTTCTTGGGTTAGTGTAGTTGAAATTCAGCCAGGAGAACATGCTTTTCTCTTCTTTATTTTCCTGCCATTGCTGCCTGAAAACCCAGCTGCTGGGGATAGTTTTGTGGCCTCTCATTCCCAATGTGTCACCTGCTTATAGAGCACTCTGAATTTCTGTTGTTTTGGATGCACAGGACAAGGTTTGAGGAGCATCTCCTGTAAAGAGACTCTGGGGCCACACAGATGGTGGGGGAAAAGGAATTGGAGATGAATGAGGTAAAACAGCCGAGAAGGCAGGGAGCTGGAGATACCGTTGTTTCCCTCTACTTCGTATGGAGTCACCAGCCTGGCATGCTGAAGTGAAAGGGAACAAGGTTCTCTTGGGCCCTGGAGAAAGATGGGAACTGGAAATGCAGGAGACCCGTTAAAGGTCTCCTCATTGATTCATGGATAAAGTACAGTTTTTTAATATCATCTGCAAGAATAGACCTTTGTAGTTACTACTGACTCAGAAAGAGGACCAGTGGGGAAACAGGATTCCTTCCATGAAGGGATCTAGACATTCTTGTGTTCAGCTTATTATACCATACTGCTGAAGAACCCAGACTCTATCTCATGTCCTCAGGAGCAGTGAGCCAGAGAGGCATAAGACAGACTGAGGCATCATCTCACCCATTTCGTCCTACCACTTCACTTCCCTTTTTCTTTCTTTACTTGCTAGTCCTGGTTAGTTATCTTCTGATTTATTTGCCTTGCCAGATATTTGCATCTTTTTGCAGAGACTTGCTGCTATTGTGCTTTACAGGACAGCATCCCCAGATTTGTGAAGTCCACTGTGTTTTCTCCTTTCTCACCCCATGCTTCTTTGATGTTTCCTAGAAGAAATTGCAAAGTCAAAAGGAAGGAGTACAGTAGGAAGTGGCTGCCATTCATCTATTTGTGCAGCTATTGAAATGTTTCATGATCAGAGCTTATAGTTATGCTTTATTACTCTTCTCTGATATCTCTCTATCACTTTCAACCCCACTGTTTGTCACTCTTTTCACTTTTTGCCTTAGATAGCCCAACAGGAGAAGCTGTGTCACTCTATCTGAGTGGTAGTACAGCATAAATAATTTTTTTCTTAAAAATGTAAATGCCACTGTGCTTTGCTTCAGTGTGCACAACATTAAATAGTAATTGTTGTTAGTGGCAATTTGTAGTGTTTAAGAGTCTTGCTTATTCAGTCTCTGTCATGCTGGGTTTTTGTGCTGAATGACTGACTGTTGCACCGCTGTTTTTCTTTGTGAAACACATCTGTACGCAGAAGGAGAACTGCCTAATTTGTTTCAATCTGGCATACTGGAGTAAGTCTGCTTTTAAATTGCATACTTAGTAGGTTACAAATCAGATGGCAGCATTTTCATGGTGCTAATTCTCCAGTGTACCAGGAACTGCTGACTTGAATAGGTTTTGACCACTTTTCCTTTTCAGTAAGTCTTCTGTAACTCATTTGGCTTGCTTAAATGACCTGCTCCTTATTTTCCACAGCAAGAGTTCCCTCATTTGGGAAATGTAAAAGGATAACATTCCTAGCCCAAGCAGAAGCAAAATGTACCACTGCCATCTGGGCTGTGAAATTGGAATAAAGCTGAAAGATATTGGAATAAAGCTGAAAAAATATATTTCCTCAGTATATTGCCATGGCTGGAAGCCGAATGGCAGATAATAAAAGAATGGTCTGGTAGTTGGCACATTAGGATCTTGGGATGGGCTTATTGTGCTTCAAATCTCTAAGAATGTGGACAGGTTGGAAATTATTTCTCATCTAATACTGCTTATCTTCGCGTTATGTATCTACTGAGCTAATTGTCTCAGCTCATCCACTGTGAGCAGATAGGCAATTCCAGAGGGCATGGGGTCATTCCACATCACTTAGCTCTACATTTTACACTAGGATGAATAACCCTGTGGAGAAACTTGTCTCTTTACATAGACATCACAAAAAGACAATAGCTGATGGCCTTAGTTCAGGTACATAACTTTCAGATGCTTGAGATACAGCAAATGAGCCCTCTCTTCCTCTCATGCAGCTGCCTTTAGTTGTGGGATAGCAGTCCTTTCCTGCCTCACAGGTACACACAGAGATTGAACAGTGCTGCTGTTCTTACAAAGTGCTTTTTGTGAAAATAAATTAATATGTAATTTTAATTATCTCTATATACATATATTTGTGATTGCCTGAGACTTGAACATCGCGCTGAAAGGGAGGGAGTTTTAGGACAGGGGACCTGGAGGCTTTTGCATCCCTAGGAAATATCTAGCTGTTTCATAGCAATATTCAGTTGAATGCATTAGAGAAACAAACAAAGCTAGGACTTGAGAATACCTGGCTTGTAAATGAAGCTCTATAAGTCATGCTCCTTCATGGTGACTGGTTTTGTTTCTTTTTAGATTGTGATGGATTTCAAACACCCTGATGGTCATACAGTGGCAATTATGTTGCCCCGATGCAGTTTATTGGTGATGACTGGAGAATCCAGATACCTGTGGACACATGGGTATGTGTAAGAGTCTCTGCATGGCTGATAATAGAGGAATAATAAATGTTGTTTGTTTGCTTTTTTAATGACATTCTGTGTTTTAAATTGCCTGAAAGAAATCAAGTCAAGTTTCATAATTAATATCCAAATTCACTCCTCTGCTCAGATGCTGCTTAGGTTAAATTGAAAAACTTGGGGATTTAGAGAGCTAATTGCCAGTCCCTGAAGTGTAGTTTCCTCCTGCTGTTGTAAGGGAAGTTTCAGTTGGAAATCACTCTCACATTTGCAGTGTGAAAGTTCTCAATGACTCTGAGCTGGCAAAGAATTGATTGTAGTGCAATTAGTGTCACCATTCCCTTTCTCTCTTTTCAGCCCACAACCTTTCCCACTGGATTACATATGCCAAAGGCTTGAGAGAGGGGTTTGAGAGTTTACAAGATTGACTTCCCCTGCACTGAGAGCCTGAGGGTGGCAGAGGGGAGTTTTCCTGAGCTGTTCCCAGCTGCTTTAGGGACACTGTAGCTACTGGTAAGACAGCATTGAGCAGTTTTGGGATGCTGCTAAGAGTATTTTTTTAAATACTTCTTGGGGCTGTGCTTATTGCAAAATTCAAATACGTGCTTTTAAAATCGTGCACCATTGGGAGATAGTTAAAATTGGAGTGCTGAAATTGGCAAAAAGGCTAAAGCCTTGCTGAGCTCTGAGTGTGATATTAATGCATTTCAGGAGCGTATGGCCACCCTGTATTGGACAGAAATGCCCATAGTAAGCATTTCTTCCTTTGTTTGACCCAAGCCATCACTGATTCAGCAGTCAATCGGAGATACTAATTACATTCTGTGTCAATTAAACACCAAATCCTTTTATTGGCAGAAAATTTTCTGCCTTTTAATTTTGCTGGTTAACATGTATTATGAAACAGGTGAATATGAAATCCCTGAGAACCTTTATATTGTTAATTTTAGAGAGCTCTTATACCACCTGTATATTCCCTCGTTAAATTAAATAGATGTAAAAAGCACTTGGTACTTCTGATGTGCATCAGTACAGAAGCCCAGGGCAGTGAACTCCCTTATTGTTTGATATACAGGACTGAATACAGATACCAGCATTGTAAGCTTCTTATGCTGTCCTGTCTAATATCGTCAGCTGTCTTTTGGAAAGGCCGTGTACAGCTCTGAGAGTTGTGCAGTTTCTGTGTCAGTGACATTGCTGGCCAGGGAAGCCAGTTGGCACTCCCCAACCCCAGGCATCAGGCAGCTCCATTGGCTGTGCTGAGGCCAGTTTGGAACACCAGCCCAGGGTCAGGGTGGTGGCTGTGCACAGACAGAGCTGGGCATGCATCTGAGGCTGTAACTGGAACAAGGGCCAGGGGGACAGCCTCTGTTTAAACAGCTCCCAGGGGAAGGAGGGCTCGCGCTTTCTGAGGCCTCAGCTTTTTCCAGGGCTACCAGCTCTGCTCTTTCCAAGCCAGCCCTGGGCAGCGACACTCCCAGGAGGCAGAACGATAAGTGCTAGGCACTTGCAGCACTGGCCAGCAGCCACTGAAGTTGGAACAGTGTATCTGCCCATTAAAGTGTGAAATGAGATTATTACTTAACTCCCTTGTACCTTCAGGTGATGGTAGTCTTTCAAGAACCAATGAATAAACTACACTGAAAATTAGGATCCCAGACCTTTCTGCTCATGTACAAATGGTTCCTGTGCTGGTTCTTGTCCACCTTTCCTAAATATATTTCTTCTATATGTTTTTAAAAGCAGTTTTGGGTCAAGATACTCAACTGGAGTAAGCTTTGCATCATGCTGCTGGAACATCATATTGCAATCAAAATTAAAACCATCCAGAGAGAAGTTGTAACTAATTCACTTGCATACATAATAACATTTGTGAGGCCTTTTGTCTACACCTCAGAAGTCAAATTGTAAGAGCACAAGAGTCAGTTTTGAAATTAATCTGGACGTGTTTTCAGTGTGCATGCTTGGATGACAAGGAATTAGAGACTTTGTTTTGACCCCATTAACAAAGTGCACAGGAAAAGCATTTTTGTTCAGTTCTCTGTAAAAGGGAAACACATGGTTTAGAAATAAGCTTATACAGTGTCATCAAGGAGGACAAAAGATGTGTTCTCTTTTTGACTCATAGGTGAAAGTAAAATTCTGACTTTTCTGATGAAGTTCATTAGTGATGTTTTTCATATTTGGTTGGATAACTTGGCAAAACTATATTCTTGGCACTGCAATAGTAAAACCACTCTGTGCCAAGCAAGAAGGAGGTGCAGCACTTTGTTTTTGACATTGGGAAGTCTTCGTAATATTAATGAAAGGAAATGAGAGAAAGGAACAAAACCCAGGAGAGACAAGTGATGCACAATGCAGTTGTTCCCCACGCAGTGACTGATGCCCAGCCCATCCCCTGTTCATACACTGAGCAAGATGCTCCCTGTTATGAAATATCCTTCTTGCCAGTTCAGGTCAGCTGTCCTGGCCATGCTCTCTCCCAGCTTCTTGTGCCGCTCCTCACTGGCAGAGCATGGGAAATTGAAAAGTCCTCACTCAGACTAAGCATTACTGAGAAACAACTGCAACATCAGTGTGTCACCAGCATTATTCTCGACTAAGTCCAAAACACAGCACTGCTGCTGTTAGCACAGATGCTTAGAAGAAAATTAACTCTATCCCAGCCAAAACCAGGACAATAATAAATATATTAAAATAATATTTATAAAAAAGTACTAGACAAATAAACAATCAAACTTTATGGGAAAAAATGGAGGGAGGGAAGGGAAATGCAATTACATGCAATTAAACAACACTTTAATTCATGTCATTAGTTTATGTGTCACCTCTTTTCTCTCTGAAATTGAATAAGTTGAAAACTGAGATGCAGATGTTAAATAGGATGTTGTAATTGCATATCGCTCAGCATGTAGGGATTGCCTTCTTACAAAGGTGGATTGGGATTTTTCTGATGCAAATGGAATTATTCCTTTATTTTGTGTTTCTTTATTTCAGGATCACACCCAGAAAATATGATGTTGTTCAAGCATCAGAACTTGGGCAAAAAGTTAGAACAATCACTGCTGATGTTGGAGATTTAACATTAAATCGAAGGGAAACAAGGACATCATTTACATTCAGGAAAGTGAGGAGAAGCCCTTGCAATTGCAGTAAGTGTCTTGAGGCAAGCTTCAAGTCAAAATTGGTATTTATCACCAATAGGTGGGGTTTTTTTGCTTTGAGAAAATAATTTTATTCCTTTGGGTAGTTTTGGCAGTCATCATAGCTACTCCTGGATGGTTCGTAGCATACTATATGGCATGAATTGGTAGCATTCATTTGCTTGCTGGAGTTTCCCTATACAGGAAGGCATTTGTCTTGCTCCAGAGCCAGGCAAGTAATCTGGAGTCTTGTGTGTTTCATTGGCATTTCAAGTGCTTAATAATGTAACAAAATAGAAATAATTACTGTTCTTCAAGATTTTTCCTCAGTTTAGATTTTTTTTTTTTTTGGTTTTTTGAGGGGGCCTCTAATTTTGAGAAAATAGGTGCATTAGAGAAGGAGAAGTAGTTGTATCTGCTGTGATAGAGCCACATGAAGTGGCTTAGGGCAGTAGAAATAATAATAGACAGATGGCTCAATGAATACATGGAACTGAAGTCCATTCAGTTCCAATACATGGAACTGAAGCCCTTAAAAAAGAATTTCAGAGGCTGAATTGTGATGATGTCATGGTCTTTGGCACTGGGGGCACTATCTCAATTTTGAGAACATAAACATCATTAACATAGCAGATTAATGATGACTGCAAACAGCCTCTGGTACCTGTGGGCCGGTTACTTATTTTCAGGTCATCAAACACTTTTGTAGTTTGACCTGTGTTTCAGTTTTTAAAAGATAAAGGAGGATTGAATCTTTTTTGCATTTTAATATTTCACTTTTAATTTAATTTAACTAAATATGCTTAATCAATGAGGAATTGCTTAAAAATGAATATTTTGTATCTGTTGCTGTATCTAGTTTATCCGTCTGTCTGTGACAGCCAGAAAGGACAGCAGAGACCGGTGCAGCCTTCATTTCCTCAGAATGAGATGGAGGCCTCAAAGCTGGAGCAAGAATATGTACACAAGGTGTATGAAGAGATTGCCACACACTTCAGCAGTATCAGGCATAGCCCATGGCCCCGAATTGTAGAGTTTCTCAGGTCCCTGCCAGCAGGGTCAATAGTGGCTGATATTGGTTGTGGTAACGGGAAGTACCTCGGCATCAATGAGGATTTGTACATGGTAAGTAGTAGCTCCTGTCATTTGTTTTCACTGGTTCTGGTGTTTATTCTGTCGTGCACTTGTAGCATGCTGGAGGTTCAGGTTGGCATTGGAAGACTGCCGAGAACAGAAAGCTATTTCCTGATCCAAGATCAAGTACCAATTGTCTTAAGTTTCTGCATATATTCGTTATTTACATTTTTCTTTTTTTCAAAGCTACTTCTGCTTTGTAATTCAAAATACATTAAGAAAAATAGGAATGGATGCAGTGAATTGAAAAATTGTAATGGATGGTTTAGCCTTTCTTGCCATTGGTGTTGAATAAATTTATTAAATTGGTTGGGCAGTTTGAATGCTTCCAACAAAATTTTCATTTGTTTGGTGAATGGGTGAAATCTCCATGGGCAATGCTATTTTTCATGACCTCTTCAGTTCCCTGTGGCCTGGTGAAACATCTCATTTGTGAATGATGTCATGTTTGGCTGTTCCACCTCTGGCTCCGTGCACAGGCCCAGTAATTATGCCAGCATAAAATTCACAGGGAGATCTCAACTTTGGTATAGATTTCTGGCCTTTCACTCGCTTTTCTTCACTTTCAGACAACTTTGACATAATTCTTGCTCATTTTCTCTCTTTCACTGTCTCACACTCTGTACTTTGGTTTTACTTCTCTCCCTTCCTATCAGGAAGAGATTAAGTATGTACAAATATGAACCAAAAGATAGCTTTCATTGCAAATATTTAAAAGACCTTTTCAAGGGAAATAAAAAAAGAGTCAAACTTGCCGTTGTTTTAACCTGAGAGAAATCTCAGAGAAGTGTGTGCTATGGTATCTGCTCTCTCCTGTTCCAGGACTGTCTGATTCTTTCACACATTTGTCCTGTATAACACTCTGAAGTCCATCAGACTTAAAAACTTCTATGTAGGGCAAGGCATTCATTATTGATAATAAAACTTGGAGTCGTTTGTCTTTTTCAGGAGTTTCTGTCCTGTTATTTATATTCAGCTAAAAAAGATAAGTTGTTATTACAATGCTGTTTGTGTTAGTAAATTATCTCCCTTACTGTTCTTATGGGCTAGAACAACATCAGCCAGTTAATAAGCAGGCATCTTTATGCCTGACTGCTGTAGCCCAATTATTAATTTCAGTGCATTTCAGTCTTTTTGTTTTTCAGTCCTGACTCCTGTAAGAAAAATAAGCAAGCCTAACTAGAGAGGAGAAACATTTATCAGAGTATCATGAGGGTTGACTGGTCCCAGAATGGATTTGGTAAATTGCAGTTGTGGAGGTTTGTGGTAGACTTCTAAAGTGAAATTAATGCAAGGTACTGTGTTCAGAAATTGCCAGCATCGGTCTATTTTCTAAAGCCCACAATTAACCAGCTAAGGAAAGGAAAGATCACATATTGGCTGGCAGGAAAAGGAAGGCCCGCTCCTTTCCTCTGTTACTTCAGGAGTTATCTAATTTCATATGTGTCGCCAGGAGAAATAAAAAACATGAAAAGTAACAGTGAAAGGGAGGAAACTATTAAAGAAGCAGTTGAAAGAGTTGAAAAATAGAATATGGGAATTGCTTCATTCAGTTGGCCTCCCTTGACATTTTATTTTCCAGTGGTGACAGCTAGTGGTTCTTAGATGGAGATAGACTCTAGACTTTGCATTTGGTTGTTTTCATCTATAAGTCAGCACAGAGCCTCAGGAGGATGGATTTGACTCCTTCTTTCTACCAGATTTTTTTTTTCTGTAGCAGCCCAAGTGTGGTTAAAGAAAACCCTGTGTATATTGTGTTTACAGCTGTTCTTAAACTTTTGTCAAGGTATCTCAAGCACTGTTCCATCTACCATGGTTTAGTCATGGAGCTGAGGGTGAGGGATTACTGAATGTTTTATGTATCAGGTGCATTGTTGGGAAAAGAGGCATGGTCTCTAGATGCAGGGCATCAGTTTTCTTCCTCATTTACTCCTGTTTAGTTGGAAGCATAAAATCCAGGCATAAACTTAGTAAATTCTACATCTCTTTTTTGTGTACAGTGTAATGGAGTTCTTAGCCCAGGTCCTGTTGGGAAAGAAGCAATAAAGCAGTGCTGTGAAATTAGGAGTTGTGTAGGGATTGGGTAAGGCACTGTTGGCACAGCTCTGTAGCTTGGGGTGTTTTGACTCAGAAGTACTGAAAACCTGAGGCAAGCATTTCCTGAAGGCAAGCAATATGCTTTTATGCTTCAAGTAGCAATTCTAATGGTAGATCACAGCTAAGGTAGCTCTCTTCATGTTTTACTCTTCAGGTACTGTCTGAAAACATCTCCACTGTGGCCTGTGCCATTGTAGTTGCCTCAGTTTCTCTGGATGAAGACATGTGGCCTTGTCTACTTGAGTATCCCATGTGACAATGAAATCCACGAGTCCATCTTTGCTCAGCAAAAGTGACACTGCTGTAATGGCTGCATTATTCTGACACAGTGAGAGAGCAGCAGTTCCATGATAAATTCAGATTAAGGATGTTTCAGCTGGAGATAGAATCCGTGTCTGATGTAGCTAGCACAAAGGCTGGAGAAATGTTGTATTTAACAGTTTCAGATTACTTTTTCTGTCTCACCCACCCACCTTGTTATTGTTTAAATGATAGCAAAAAAGATACGTGGTTTAAGTGTTGTTTTTCCACAATTCTCTCCTCACCCAATCTCATTTGGGGGAATTATTTTAATAGGTTTTATTTAGGTGCTTTCAAGCTTAATAATCATCTCTGTAAGCAGAGCTTTTCTTTTTATGGAACAATGTGTTTCAGCCTTAGCCATTCCCCTGAATACCACAAGGGTTTCACTGATGTTATTGCAATGATCTCATTAATTTCTATGCACTTTAGCTTTTTCTCCGTGTTTCCAGTGTTCAGGTAGGTGTGTAAGTCTCTGCAGGAACATTCAAAATCCTCACAGGGCTACAGCATGAATGAAAAGTCATTGAAGTCTTTCACATTTGTGGTTTACATTTTTAATTGAACGGATAAATTGTTGGGAAATTCAGTGGCAAATAACTGAAAATGCCATAGGGTAGATATAGGGTTCTCTTTTTGTATAAAGAAATTACTCTACTTGACAGAGTACTGATGATAGGAAAAAAATTCTAGAAATGTATTTTTATATAAAAATATAAACATGGCCAATAGAGGAGCCAGGATGATTTGCTTTTATATAGATATTCCTATTTCTACTGTGTGTGTCATTCAGAGGTAATTGGTAACACAGTTTATATTTCACAAGACTTTCACAAGTCTGAGATTTGCACCTCTGTTTTCTGCATTACTGTCCCAAACTGCAATCTACTAGAACTATATAAAAATGTGATATTTCCAGGGTGTGGGGAGGAGAGAGAGAGTGAATATTTGCATAAAGTTGGGTGGCTTTTAGTTGCACTGGATTTGTACAGGTTGGGAATAGATTCCTCTCCCAAGGCCTTTTTAGTGGTGGGTAAAAGCAGGAGGGACAAAACCAACTAGTAAACGTATACCTGGAGTAAGTTCACCATATCTTAGCAATTGAAGGGTGAGACAGACCAACCTTTCCTGCTCTTTTCTTTCAGTGAATAAGAATCATTAAATGGGTGAAAGATCTGGGAAGAGAACTCAGAAGGAACTGGGCGAGAGCAGCACAAAACTAGAATGAAAGCTGAATTGCTCAGCTTGGTTCTGTTGGTTTGTCACTGAGAAATGAACTCCAGGTCTTAGGCATAGCATTTTGCTTTCAGAGATACCCTGACTACATGCAATGGAAAAGCAAAACACTACATGAAAGGAATGCTGAAAGCTTGACTCAGATGAATTGTTTGCTGGAATGTAATTTGGTTTCTTGAGCTTCTCATGCTGTTAGTTATAGCTGAGGTGTGTCTCTGGAGAGCGACATAATTCCATTCAGTGGCTGGATTTCAGAATTAGATGTCGTTTTGTTCATCACTTTGTAATGTGCTGAATAAATTAGGCTCCCAGAAACTTAAATGAACTAAGTCTACCAGCCTGAGTTAGTTATAATGAGATAACGTAGAAAGAAAACACATAGTGGTGGGTAACCTCAGCCTGCCTTTACTTATCTTTTTTCCAGCATGCAAGAGGGTTTATCTTTTGCAGATTTGCAGCATAACTACAAACCAAGCTATTTATTAGTGTCTTTTTCCCCCAGTGATCTACACCAAACAACTGCATTGAACAGATTTTATAAAATCTGCTTTAGCTACTCCTTGCTGTAAAGGTGGAGGTGAATGTGCTTGGGAACATGAAGGAGCAGGATGTTATCCATTTCCAGGAAGCCAGTACAGAGCTACTGAACACTCAGACAAGTCACAGGCATTATATTTGTTTCTCTCTTCTTTCTCCTCCTTTATCTTGGCCTTTTTTTGATTGTCTAAAGGTTTGCCCCAGACAGGGTGTGGTATGCCAGAATGATGAACTTTTGCCCCTTTCCTAAGTTTTGTGTTTGTTGGAGTTCTAGATACAGAGTTACAGGCCTCCATACTGATACATATTTCCTGTCTTCAAGTGGGTGCAGTTAATATTATCCTTATACACTGAAAATCAGTGCCTGAAATCCAAGTGGATTTCAGTCACAGTAACTGGCAGTGGTCACTCTTGAGCTCCTGTGAGCCATTGTTTACATCACAAAAAGTGGTGAAGAGATGGCTGGAGGTGCTTCTCAAAAAGTCAGGGATGTGGGAATGGATGTCTGGAGCAAAATCTGAGAAGCCAGTGTCCTTTATGGGAATATTGAAAGGTGTGGAATGACTTGCTGAGAGGTGGACTTGCTGAGGTAGACTCAGCTGAATAATCAGCCATGCTGTTTGAGATATATATGAGAAACTGTGGAGTTTGAGCAAGGAATTTGATTTGGAAAGCTGAGGTATAAGAAATGATTGAGAAGAATCATAGATATTAAGAAATAGAAAGCCTAGAAACATACACATGGCTTGACTCACCAAGAGATGTATTAGATTCTTTTGAGTTTGGATGCTAGACTAATAATAATTCATCTGCCTTTCTCCACTCTTCTAGAAGAGATGCTAGCAAAGACAATAAATATCCTGTCCTGAGCATCGAAAATAGAGATATGAACTGGCAAAAATTAAAGCTTTCCAGCTACATTTTGAGATTAGTTTTAAATGTTTGGATTATATAGTTAATTGGAGAGAGAAAAACCTGTTCTCAATTAAAACGGTCCTTTGACCTCTTCTGTAGATGAAGTTTCATCAAATCAAAGCTTCTTCATGCTTTGAAATTTAAAAATCAATTAGTAATGGAATTGGGAAGAGTTGAGTTTGGGATCTCTGCCCCTCTGCTAAATGTTTTCTGTATTCATAAAAACCACAGATAGACTAATTTAAGGTATCTTTTTGCTACCTTATTCTTTTTTTAAATGACTGAGATGAATGTATTTTGGTTTTTAGTGAATGCATGTTTCTTGTAAGTCAGAAAATGCAGGAATTCAGTGATTATAATTATTTTGAAATATCACCTAGAAATTATTCTAGCAAAGATGCTAAAGTTGCCTAGTTTCAACACCAGACATCTGTGGTGATTCCTTGTGTTCACTATTTATGCATAAATGCATAGCACCTATTGTCTTGTTTACATTTAAAACCACATAAAGTTTTAGCCTAATACACCTATTTTAGAGCAGCTGTGTGTTCAAAGTGTTCTGTTTCAAGGTCTCCATTTTCACTGTGAAACAGCATCTTTTTGCTTTGGATGTACATTTGCTTTAGAAAGTATGTCAATATAAGTAAACCTGACCTCAAAATATTTGCTGTAATTTAGATGCAAATGAGGACTTTGCAATCTGGCAGTTATGCCTTTGTTCTCATTCTCAGTTCATTGGATTTCATCAACATACATTGTAGTCCTTTTCAAGGTCATTTCGGGAACGAGGAATTGTGTTCCATTATCCAGCCCATTTTCACTCTAGATGTGGAGGTTCAAATCAATTCTTTCTGTGAAAGCTTGCTGTCAGTGTAAGCTGCAAGTTTTCTTCTTCCTCCTTCTGCCAGCAGTGAATTTGGTCCTTTGAGTTTTATTATTAAGTACTGGAAGCCAATGTCTTAATTGCAGTAGTTAAAGGTACCGGTAATGAGGTGTGCAATCACTAACATGCAGGTTGTCAGAGTAATTTAAAGACACTTCAGTTGGCTGCCAGTGTAAAATGATGGGGATTTGTTTGCATTCAAGTAAGCAAGGGTTTCCTTTTTAAATTCATAAACAGCACAATTCACTCAGTGCTTCAGTAAATGCGAGAGACCAAGGAATGAGTGTGAAGAAAGCAATGTTAGGATTGATCTTTTGTGGTCTGTTTATTGGTAATTGGCAGGATAATATGTACATATTCATAGTTTTTTGTGGAGGATTATCTTGTATTGTCAGATTGGCATTTTCACAACTGTTTCATTTACTTTGGATCAAAAGTCAGAGACATGAGTAGAAGGCAGCTCACTGGTAAGCTTTCAGGAAATAAGACTGGAGCAGAATTCTGGTTTTCTTCAAAACTGTGGTGGTAGGATGAAAGATAAAAGGACTTGAACAGATAAAATGAAAAATTATGATGGAAAATAAATATATTTTCATTAATCATTGCGAAAGGGATTTTTAATTTTAGTGGTAATGTTGTCTCTTCTGGGTTGATTAAGCAGGACGAGTTGTTTGCTATTCTTCTTGCGTCAAAGACAGTTTAGTATTCTTTCAGTGTCAAATGCATTAAACACTGTCAACAGTAATTATTTAGGATTCTGAACCCGTTCTCTGCTATCTGCTTGTTGCTGGTTATTGAAAACAAATAAATGTATTATTCTCATACATGCAAAGTTTGGTATACAATCTTGTAGCAGGGCTTTGGTTTGCACATTCAGTATGCATGGCAGAAATGAAAACAAGGTGGCACATGCCTCACTATTTCTTTCAGAAGGTGTCTTGATTAATTTAGATTTATTGTTTTTATGCAATCTTTTAAAAACACCTCTAGACACTGATTTTTAAAAGATGGTAAGTTTTGTCTTACTGCCTTTGATCACACTGGGCAGGTATAATAGCGGGCTGACTGTTGGGTTTAAAAGGGGAAAAAATTAATATTTTATGAGGTATGTTTTATGGTTAGGGGTCACTTCACTGGACTGTACAGAGCCTTGGAAAATTATGTTGAGCTTAATTTTTTTTTGTGTATCTTGATAATGAGCTGTAAGAGAAAGATATCTGAGCACTTCCTCTCATTGAAATGACAAAACGTAGGTGATGAGTGAAGCTGTATGCCATACTTTAGTGATACCACCAAAGTCAATGGATAATGGCTTACACTTTTATATCAGCTTTTGTGAGTTCAGTATTTGGGTGCTTCAAATATTGTCAAGTTAAAAATGGCAGTTGAAATGAAAAGAAAATACTGGGGTTAGGTCACATCTCATTTTGTTCATTTCAAGACACCTTGAATGAATTGTGAAGTAAAGTTAGGTTGAAATCTAGTCTGTCTTAAGCTGGTTCAAAATGAGGGTGCTATAATGAGCTGTCTAATATCCAGTCTTTCATCTTTGTTTTAAGTCAACATCATGGTTGTTTTCTTTTTGTCTGTACCTAGGAACTATATACTCCTCTTAAGGCGACTTTCTCACACTTGCTTTTGTTTTGATTTTAAACTGTGTTCCCTCAGTAGGAGACTGTGATGGCTCTATTACTGTAAGCATCAAGTGAAAATCATATTCCAGTCTTATAATTATTCTCTCATGAAAAGCTTAATGAAACTTTTTCTGTTCTAGGTTGGCTGTGATCGCAGCAAAAACCTGGTGGATATTTGTGGAGAAAAACATTTCCAGGCGTTTGTCTGTGATGCCCTGTCAGTGCCAATCCGCAGCGGTTCTTGTGACGCCTGCATCTCTATTGCTGTAATCCACCACTTCTCGACAGCAGTAAGTCACCCCTCTCTCTGCTCCACTGTACTGCTGGATTGCTGTGCAGAGCTGCTAATACTGCAATACAAGCAAAGGCAAGAACAAAACTGGAAGAAATCCAAGGTTTCCATTTGGTGTAAGCAGTTGTCAGAGCAGAGTTAAGCTGTTGTGCTACTGCCGCTTCTTAGACTTTCAGTTCACATTCTCCTTCTGCTTCTCAGATGCCCTTGTTCCCCCTGAAGCTTTGGTCCAATGTTTGGGCTTCCTTTTCTTGTGCTTGTAATTAATGACACTGGAGAAGGGGGCTCTGCTTTGGGAGTCAAGAGATGTATTGTTTCCTGACTCAGATCTTGGGCTCTTGGGCACATCTTGTGATTTTGGGTTTTTTAATCTGTGCATTGGTTGTCCATCTCCAAACAAAAGGGAGACTGCTCACCAGTCTGCTGTATCTCTGGGCTGGGTAAGGTTCTCCTGGCAGAAACTGTGCCATGGTAACAAGTTTCTAGACCATCTTAGAGGGGCCCCACAGACCTTTCCATACCACAAATGTAGTGAATGTTTCCAGTAAAAAAAAAAAAAAAGAAAGAAAAAAAAAAGTAGAAGGAATTCTGTTTTGGAGAAGGCTGACATATCTTTGTTTATGTGGTCAGAGGACCTGTGTTTAGGCTGTAAGTCTGACCCCTTCAGCTGCAAACTTAGCCTGTGCATCATCAGGTATGGTAGATTTGAATCTGGGATTTTAAATACCGAATCACCTTCTTGAAAAGTTTTCTGTCTTTTCCAGGTGGACTGATATGTCCAAGAAATCCTGCTCAGCACAGAACTATTTTCAAATGGAAAAAGAATGGTAGAATCATTGAGGCTGGAAAAGATCTTTAAGATCATCAAGTCCCCTGTTAACCCAACATCGCCTCATTCACCACTAAACCATGTCCCTGAGTGCCACATCTACAGGTCCTTTAAATACCTCCAGGGATGGTGAATCCACCACTGCCCTGGACAGCCTATTCCAGTGCTTGACTTGAATGATGTCTTGATGAAGAAATTGTGTTTAGGAAAATGTCTTGGCTTGTGCACAGTGATGGGCTGTATTATGAATGAAAATAAATAGTGGGAAAAAACAACTTCTTTTCAAGTTTTATTGTATTTGGGTAAGGAGAAATTGCTGCCATTCCATTCTTTTGACTTCTTGTTTGTGTACCAGCTTCACACTTTTTCTTTTCCTTTCCAGGAGCGGAGACTGGCTACTATCCGGGAACTAGCTCGGCTTCTAAGACCTGGTGGAACAGCACTCATTTATGTCTGGGCAATGGAACAAGAATACAAAAACCAGAAGTCTAAATACCTTAAAGAAAAGAATGGTAGTAAAAACAAAGAAAAGGAAATGAATACTGGCACAGCCCAGAGACCACTTAGTGAGCAAGGGCCTGATAACAGCAGCCAAGACTCTGCATGGTCCAACCAACTCCTTAATGACTTGAAGGATGAAAGCTGTGATGCCAAGCCAGTAGCAGACTTCAGACTGCCTGTTCACACTAACAGAACCTCCTTTCACTCTCAAGATTTGCTGGTTCCCTGGCACCTGAAAGGTGGTACAAAAAAGAAAGAGGAAAGTGTTGATACAATGTTGGTTCCAGGTGGCTCCAAAGAATTGCAAGAACTCAGCCCTGTTTTCCACCGCTATTACCATGTGTTCTGTGCAGGGGAACTGGAAGCAGTGTGCAGATCCCTGGATTATGTGAGGGTTCAAAAGAGTTACTATGATCAGGGAAACTGGTGTGTGATTCTAGAAAAGTTGTAGCCTGTGATGCTTCCTCTATTATCTGTAGAGGTTTTTTTTTTGTTTTTTACAGTGAAAGGTATTTTTAATGCAGGCTGCAGCTATTTCCTCTTTTAAAATAGCAGAATAAAGATTGTGCATTGAGTTAATAACATTGGCTAGCACTGTGTGCATATGTTAACAAAACAATGGCCAAACTCAGCTACTACCTCTGCAGTGTTTGCTTTACTTCTCTGAATTACAGTGAAGAGGATTATGTGGGAAAATACTGCCCATGCAAAGGCAGTGTGAGCTTTTAGAGACAGAGGGCCTGGTTCTCCCTTCTCTTACATAATTTTATATTGATGTAGCTGCAGTGCTTTCCCTGCAATCCACAGCTGATTGGAATGGAGCTCTGGGCAGGAAAGGCAGAGCTGTTTGCTGTATAAAATTGTGGATGAGGGAGGAGGGAGTGAATGGCATATGAAGCAGTTAAGCTGAAGAGTAAAACTGTTGCCTCAAGTTTGGTCTTGCCTGTTTTGATGTCTATGAGGGGTGGCAGATCTCTTTCAGTTTGGAATTTACTCCCTTGGTTGTGTTAATAATGCTTTCCTCAAAAGGAACTGGAAAATCAGTGGGGATACCACAGATATTTTCCTCTTCCTTGACTCTCAAATACCCACAATTCATGCTGTCCATCCCCAGATTTCTCTTCATTGTAGTGTTGTGTGAAAGCTCCTGTGAGGTGCAAATTCCAGCCCAGCTGGAACAGCCAGACCAGCTCTTGCTACACACCTGCATTCCTACAAGTGCGCATCTCTGTGCCTGTAGCACCAGGACTTGCAGGGGTGGGGTGACCCTGAGATACCCCAGGGGAGAAAGGGAAAAATATTAAAGTGAAGGCAATATTGGTGCAGGTTTTCTGGTGGGTATTTTCAGCCCCTAAATGTTGGCAGTGCAGCAAGTTTTATTTAATACACTTCAGAAGAGCAAAGGACAGGAGTAGAGGGGAATTGATGCTGGGCTGGCTGACTCAGAGCAGCTCTTTTGGCTGTGGCCTGCAAGGACTAGTGCAATTTATTTGATACAACTCTTGTGCTACCAAAGGAGCATGACACCTGGAATGCATTTCTGAAACTAAAATAATGGGCTGACTTTTGTAGGCTGAATGGCTGTTGGTGCCTCTGGAAACCAATCCTGCTAAGCTATGCTGTTATATTGATTGATCGCCTGTAGTTGTTGCAAGTTCGATCGTATTGGCAGGTTGTGCTGCTGTAAATAATGGCATACAAACCAAGGTGCCCATCCTAAATCATATGGGGATTTTGAGGACAGCTCAAGGACAGCTTGGCCTACTCCTACCTGCCTCCCATGTGCAGGTTAAAGGCTGCTGTGCTGGCAGCCTGCTCACAGTCACCATTTCTCCTAGGTTCCCATCTTGTAATGGAGAAAATCCAAGAGGAACAAGAGCAGTAAGAGAGGAGCTTGCTGCCACCACAATTCACCTGGCCTGTGCTTTGCATGCTGTCTGCTTCCAAAGAGCCTTGGGAAAGAAGGTCTCATTCCTCAGGTGCACATGCTGTCCATGTAGCAGCAGCCTTGTCCTAACTGATTCCTTTCCTTTGGACAACAAAGGAAGCATGTTGGTAGCAATGAGCCCTCTTGGGCATGTTCAGGGGCTGATTTGCACACATTCAATGAATATCACATAGCTGGAAACATGTCTTGCATCAAGGCCTGAGCTGGCTTTAGTACTGGGACACAGAGTTTGGGTGCAGGAACTCGCCCCTTTCCCTTGAACTGTGGCACCAGAGCTAACCAGTGCTACACAGTGGCAGTGTGTTACTGGTAAGAAAGGGCAGGGAGAGCCTCTGCTGGGTTTCTGTGCAGTGACTAACTCACTAACCTGGGCTCCCTGTTATTTCTGATTATGTGTATTGCATTCATGTAGAATAAAGGAGGAAGACACATCTCTGAAGGTCTGTGCCTGCATGGCCCTGTGTTTGCTGGTGCCTGGACTGCTGCTGAGCACACAGCAGCTGCTGTTGGGTTTGTACATTGCCTGTAACTGCATTTTTTAAAAGAATATACAGTGTTCTGGCAAGGAATAATTACTCCTTGAAAGTCCTTCTGAAGTGCTGTCGTATCATGACCTTGTGTGGCAAATTAGGAATCAGGTCTGCAGTTGTGCTCGATTACTCAATGTACCCTTGTTCTGACTGAGGATAGCTCAGAGGTGCTGCCTCCAAATTGACTGCTGGCTCTGACTGGACACAGGGTCACTCTTCTAACCTGGGGCTCAAATGCATCAAGTAGACAAAGCTGGAATAATTGAATGTGGACTTTATGTAACACTGATCTATTTTTTGCAGGCCCTCTGGCTCCTGTAGAGCTTTCCTGCTTTCCCTCTGTTTCCCTGGCAGATGCAGCATTAGGCATTGTCTGGTGTCACACTTAGCATTTCTTGCCTTCTGGGCTGGTTAACATCATTTATTGACTGCCATATGAATGAATAGGTCACATTCCCTCTTGCCATGTCTGCAGTGAAGCACCTGAGATGTCTGAGAGGAGAGTCAGATTTTATTGTCAGTCTTTTGGAGTCCATCAATCTTCCTGCAAGGTATTCCATTTAGCTGAGTCACAGCAGCTTTTTCCATCCATTTCATGCTGGCTCAGAGCAGAAAGTGTCATTTTCCCTGTCCTAGGCAGCCCGATGGTGGTGAGTTCCAGTGGGTCCTGCTTCTGGAAGGAGGTTCTGGCATGGGGAACACCAGCTTGGGCAACACTGCTTGGACAGACACACTGGGTTGAACATAATTCCTTACCAAAGAGGCTTTTCCTGCCATTTCTAAAGGCTGTGAGCCAGAGGATGGTCCCAGTGGCGCACTATCTCTTCAAAAGCAGTATAAAAGTTAAAGGTACTCTGAAATCCTCAGAGACCTGGAAATGTTATGAAATATTTACTTGGTTAAAGTCAGAGAGTCTCTTCAGATGCTCCAAGAAGAATGAAGTGGTGAAGAAGAAAATGACAAGGGAGGAGGGCAGGTAGATGTTAACAAAATGTATTGCAGAGATTTACAACTCAGAATTACATGCAACCACAGCTGCCCTCTGCAGTACTCACTAGTCCCTTTTTACCTCCTGGAAGTGGTAATGAGATGAAACTTTTTAAGGTCAGCAGTTGGGTTTAAATGTTACAGATTTTGTGTTGCACTGTCCTGCCCTGACAAAACAAGGACTTCAGAGCATCGCTGGGCTTAAAGCAAAGGACACAATGAGGTGATTTCTTGTTCTGGGACAGGCAAAAAATGAAGCCTGCAAAACATGGAGGACTTCTTTTAACTTCATAGAGGTTCTTCAGACTGATGTCATGGTGCAGCCAAGCCTGTGACAAAAACTCCTTCAGACTTCAGAGAGGCTGGATTTCCCTGGAAGTGTTCAACTTAAGCTTAGCTGGGAGAGGTGTAGGATAGCAGATGGCAAGGGACAACATGCTGATTGGATTGCTTTGCTGAATGGGAGCCACAAAAAGCTGAATGGGGACCACAGCTTCTCTTAAGAGAGCTTGAAAGACTGGCCTTGGCACCATGAACAAAAGATGAGCTCTTGTACTCTCTAGTGCCCAAAAATCACACAATCATGCACTTCCTCAGCTGGACTGGGGAAAGAAAATTTAATGAAAGGCTCATGAGCTGGGATATCATTGGGGAGAGATCACTTGCAGAAAAAGGAGAAGTAAAACTAAATCTTAAAAACACCTTCCCCCCCTGCCCCCCCCCCCCCCCTTTTTCGCCCCCCCCCCCACCTTTTTCCCAGTCCCTAACAATGCCTTGCAGTGACACACAGAGATGGGGAATGGAAATTATGGTCACTTCATCACGTTTCTGCAGCTGCTTCCTGTTCTCATACCGGGATTAGGAATCTTCTTCCTCTCACAGAAGCATTATGAATATGAAATTTCTAATCATGTAAGTACAAACACAGATGTCAGACAGTCTCCGTATAAAGTGAACATCAGTGAGCATGTTTGGGGAACCGTGTGCCAGAAATAAATGTCATGCAGCTGTCACTGCATACAGCAAATGTTCTGAGTTTTGCAAACTATTCCCCTAACAGTACTAGGTGTATGAGGAGTCTTCCCAAACACTTAAATTATGATAGATTTAGAGTGAAAACATTTTCCGTACATTACAAAATTTTCATGTTTACCAGAATGTAAAAAAACCTTTTAATTTCAGAATTCCAGTTCTGTTACACCTCTAAATATCACAGAAACACTTCCCACTTGCAAAGTGAAAATTATAAAGAAATTATAAATTAAAATACTAAAGAAGATCAATAGCTACTGTCTCCAGTGTGCTTTGTTTTGTGCATTCTTCTTGTTGCTATAATTAAGTCTTGTCATTATCACTTTTTGTGTGTCACTATGGTTTTCTATAATTTATTGTGGAGAAAAGAGGGAAAGACATTCATTATTACAAATCTCTTTTAGGTGTGTTAATGTGCTTTATATGAAGTGATTATACAGACAACAACAGCATTACCCTAATTTTTATGCAGATAACTTGCTCTGCCTTAACTAGTATATGTCCTCTTGGGGCAGAATTAGAATTGCATTGTTGTGTGTAAACCATAAAAGACCATGCCTCAAGTGGCTGCAAATGAAACACTTTCCTTCTCTCACCTGCCTCCTTAACAGATATTTGCTATGGAGCTGCTTGTTGAATGCAGGCAGTGTGTTCCTGTGCCTGATGGTGCTCTCATCCACACATTTCTTGGCCAAGCCACCTCACTGAACTGTAAGACACCGGTGTTGAAGTCTACAACTTAGGTCAACAGCAAGACTGTGGATTGTTTTTACCTGGCTGATACAATTTTGCACAGTATCCCTGTCACATTTCTGCTCTTGCAGCAAGCCATCACTGGTGTGCAAATACTGTAGAATTCTCAGAAACTTTGCCAGTATTGTAAGCTATTTTAAAGGTATCCTTGTTTAAATTGGATCAGGGACACAGAGAGAGTGCTCTGACATGCAACTGTTCTCTACCCCTTAAGCAGGCTATGCCTGTGCTTTACCATTGCAAAACAGCAACCCCAGTGACAGCAGTATTTTTCCTTTGATTTTATGAAAGTGATACCAGGAAATTTCCAATTCACAAGCAAATGAGGTGGA